GATAGATAGATAGATAGATAGATAGATAGATAGACGGACAGAATGTGTACACATTATATATATGAAATATGTGCTCATTGTGTCCACCAGGTAGCAGTCCATTCTTTTGTGGAGAATCTGTTCAGGAGTATCTGGGGATTGCCTAACAGCAGGGCCCCACTGGCCATCAAGTACTTTTTCGACTTCCTGGATGCACAAGCAGAGAGAAAAAAAATCTCAGATCCAGATGTTCTCCACATCTGGAAAACAAACAGGTGCTGGATAACACACTTTCATTGCAGTACACTTTGCACAGCTCCACAAGCAGCTGCACCGACATCTGATTATCAAATTTCTCACAAGATTTATTAACGTGCACAACTAAAATGGATTTTCAAACCTCCCTATCAGCCTTCCACTTCGTTTCTGGGTGAACATCCTGAAGAACCCTGACTTTGTGTTCAGCGACTTGGAAAAGACACCTCACCTGGACGGCTGTCTGTCCGTCATCGCTCAGGCGTTCATGGACTCCTTCTCCCTAGTCGAGCAACACCTGGACAAGGTAACCACTGAAGCCTAACATGGAGAGCTGCAAATATCACAGAGATTACTGACTCCCTTTTTCTCCTACAGCATTCACCAACCAATAAGCTACTCTATGGCAAAGACATCCCTCAGTACAAACAGGAAGTGAAGTCGTACTACAAGTTAGTGAAGGACCAGCATTCTATTAGCAGCCAAGAGTTGAAAATATTTCTTCAAGGGGAGTCAAAGGTACAATATGTCAAACACTACCTAGAAATAAAACAAGGTGTATTGATAGGAAGATGGTTGTAATGCAAAATGCCTAAATGTTAATTCCCCTTCTTCATCAGAAACATCAAAATGAGTTCAATGAATCTGCGGCTCTGCGAGAACTCTGCAAATTCATGCTCCGCTACTTCAGCGAGGTACGAATCTTGCGTTATCATCGCACATCTACTCTTTCGTGCATTTGAGGCAGTTTCACAGAACATTTTCACAGGATTTTCAAGCACATCAAAGCCACCGAAATTCTATAAAGGAAACCTATTTTGCCACTTTAATGAAATGTAACAACACTTTCACATCCTGTTGTAATTCAGGATGTTCAAAACCTGTTTTGAAAGGAGATTTGATACTGTGTATTCCCCTAGAAATCATCTGAAAGTTGGGTGGTCAGGAATGATGACATATTCAGATTTAGCAAAGTAATTATACAACAGCATGACTTTTTCTTTTTAATACTCGGCCTCTACAGGTTTCTCAGAAGCTGGAACAGACAGACGCCCCTGATAAGTTGAAAGAGGACATGCAAAACGTGAAGGAGCTTTTTGAAAACATGAAGCGAAGTGGTTGGAGTTGAAATTCCTGGTCTTGTTATTCATATGGGTATTTACACTGCATTTTGTTTATTTTAAGCTGGTCATTAAACTGGACGCACCTCCATCATAAAGACTTTCAGCATCCTCGGCCATATATTAGAGAAGACAGATTCACTTCTGTTTGTTGGACATTATAGAGACCAAGTGAATGTAATGTATATTGATGAATTTTAGAGTTCGAGAGGAGCTCATTGTTGAGCTTATATTGAACTAACACTGACCTGTCTATTCAATGTATCTCAAACCCATTACTTGCAAAACTTGATGATTTATATGGTTTAATTAGATTTTTCTCCCTGCTTTCTGAATCATATATTATTTTACTACAGATTTGCCTCTAATGCATTAATCTGCCAATTTGCATAATTATTCAACTGTTCTGGTCTGCACTATATTATTAAAATGTGTGTAGTTTTATGTAAAGAGCTGTTTCTAACAGTGTGATCACTGTTAATCTGTATTCCTTTGTCGCCCTCTATTGGTTATACTAGTTATTACTTATAATATGACAGCTTGCATTAATCGATTTATGAATTACATTATCCTTAAGGAGTAACATTCAGAACGATATAACCAAACAAAAAAATAATGGGTGAAATTGCCAGTATATTTTAAAATGTAAGGGAAAATAATTGAAGTATGTAGAAAGAGTATCATTTTTATCGTTGTTTTTTGTTCTTTCTTTCTTTCTTTTTTTAAATCTAATGTATCACTTAGGATGTATTGACAGATGTTAAGTTTACTATTTGCCTATTTCTGTTTATGAGCATATCCAATTAATAATAAATAAGTGAATTATAATTGTAGTATTTTGATCAGTGTTTATTCAATTTCTAATGTATAGGAAAATAGAGCTCAACAAAAATTACATTTCAAACCATAAAAATGGGTAAAATTATATTTATAAATCTGAAACATATCCAATCCCATATCCATATCTAGGATAACAAATAAACAAACAACACATTCTGTAATTATTCCATAATAATAATATTACATTTGTATATTTAATAAATTATGTTTGATTTTATGGGTAACTTTATAAATAAAATATACATAATTAGTCAAATATTATTATTATGCTCAGAACAATATTAAAATAAATCATCGTTTTTTAATTAATATGTGTACATTTCTTTTTCTTTCTTT